ATCAGGCTTCCCTCTTTTTTAATATCCCATGCCATTCGCAAAAGCGATAATTCATCACACAAGTGGGTAAATAACAGGAAAGTGCTGTTAGTAAGAAAAAGTGAGCAATGACTTGATTATACTAGTACTAATGGGGAAAATAAAAAAAGTGCAAGTGATACCTGTTGATCTTTTAGATCAATCTAAAAACTTTGCTGTCAGCAGTTACGTGATAGTGGTCAGTGGAAGGAAGGGAAGTGACGGGGAAGGAACAAAGGGCCAATGCAGTCTGATAGGAAGCTGACTTTCATTTCTGGAGGATGTGCTTGTTCTTAAAGTGCTTTCTCTTTACATTGTATGTTGTAAGTAAGGAGAAACTGAAGTGAAGGAATGCAGGTGCTCAAGACTTAATTACATGCCAATTCTTTTCCTTTACTGTCTTCTTTACTGTTAAGTGATACAAGCTAACATTTTGATTGCTTAAAATTCGGTAGTCTCGATACATACAAAGAAATCTGTGACAAAGCAAAGGTACATAATACCGTGGGGAAATAAAAACAACTGCAAGAAATGTTAATCGTGATACCTGAGTAATTATTTTGGACTTTAACCAGTAGAAACGAGAGCAAAATTGGTCCTGTAGGTATTAAGTGGAGAAACTTTTCCCTTTAGAAGGAAGTCTGTCTTTCTGGAAAACAGCCTATGGGAAATAGATTTCTTCTGTTTATTGATAGATATCATGATTTGTATTAGACTAGCAGTATTCACAGTACAGATGGTAGTTTGGATATTTCTAAAGCAATAAATAATGGTACATGTTGCCCTCCTGTGCTGGATTTAGACGAGCTGAAATAGTATCTTAGCTATGGGTAGTCTTTTTTCTATTTCTGCTCACTGCTTTTATGACATAAGTTTATTGCACGTGTAATATTTCTGCAAATATTCCTTGTTCATCATATTGTAGTCCTTTGACTTCTGCTTATCGCTCCTCCTCAGACACATTTGAAGGTCTATTTCTTAATTTTGATTTGCAACATATCTTTTCACAATGTAGTTAATGCTTTTACTTTATAACTTGCCGATGCGTTTACTAATTACTAAATCCAGTGGAAATAGGATGTATAGGAAACTAAATCATTTATCTGGGATGAGATGTAGGTTGCAAGAGATGTACATACAGCAGAACAGCAAGCAGAAGACATTGTAAGGGTTTAGGATACTGATCCAGGGTATTGGTTTTCTAATACAAACTTCCATTTGTTCTGGTTTCTGAGATTCTTTTTGTTCTATATGTGCTACACAGTGCCCTTGTGATTCTATAGCCAGGTAGATTAAAGGTATCAACAGAGGTGTAGACTTCGCTTATTACAAGGAAGATTATCTTGGAAGTGTGGATTTGACCTTTATTTAAATGCCAAGGTGATTAATACACAAATATCTGAGTTATCTTTGAAATGAAATGTTTGTATATGTTTAAGATTTTAGAGCCATGGGGAAAATGACCACTGAATTTTTTTAAGAATTGAAAAATTTCACCAAGTGTTCACATGGTATTTTGATTCTTAGTCTCTAACTCCTTGTATGTTGGACAATACAGCAAAACAAATAGAATCGTGAAGGTTGGAAAAGATAGGATTGTATCAGCTTAAATTTTTTCTAAATACATACATGAGCAAGGATTTTGCAGGATTTAAAACATTGGATGAAAGAGAAAAAAATAACCACCTTTCTGCTGTCTGTATGAACACTGAATGCCTACACCTTTCTGCTATCTGTACTAATGCTGAATGCCTATTTAATTTCATATTAAGGAAAATGGAAAAAATACAACAAAGTCTGATTTTTCCTTTTGAGAAGAGTTTGTCTGAGCTTAAAGGGGTTAAGCAGTCGAACTTGTGCAACATTTAAAGTGCACATAAGACTCAGGAGAGCAATGCTTAGTAGCCTGAGTTTGCAAGTAGGACAGTACAATTGACTTAATGGCACTTGCTCCTATAAACAGCGATTTGACAGGGCTTGGTCCTTAATCCAGGGAGAGGACAGTGTAATTTTGTGTGCTAGGCAGATGTGAGCTGTAAACACGCTGAAGTCTGCTCTTTCAAGGTGCTCAGTGCCTCACCGGAGCTGCTTCTCCGTCTCAGTTTCTGGAGCTGCTAACTGCAACACCTGGCAGAGCCAGCCTCAGAGAGAGCAGCAAGCTTTCTGGTTTGTAAAGCCTCTGTCTGTCTGGTGAGCAGTGTTTCAGGTTTTTTCCTGAAAATCTGACAGCTCTGTCCTCTCGCGACTTGACACTTGCACACAAGACACAGAAGAGGGAAGCAGCGTGTAGGAGTTGCAAAGTTTGTTAGTAATTAAACTCTAGTTACAGTTGTTTGTTTCGGACATGGCAAAATCTTACTGCAAAATAACGTCTGTGGCGATTTATACATCGCTCTGTGAGCTGCAGTAAAAGTTGTTCAAAAGTAGCATAAGTGCTTAGAGACATGTGCTCGCACATGTATCCTAATATATAGCATATGCATATAAATGCAGCAGTAGCCCTACCTAATATATTACAATGCAGTTGGACTCCTTCCACAGCTTCAGATGCAGTCATGATTTTATCCAACAATTTGGAAAGTGTGTGTAATTCACAACTACCTCCTTCCTCAGCCTTAAATTCATTCCTCCTCTGTTGGCTCCGCAGGAATTGTTTAAAGCGCAGCTTTTAGCGCTCGAGCTGCTCATCCCGCTTCCGAGTGCCTGGGCATCTTCCAGACCTCCTGGTGCCGTTGCCACCGCTCTCCGCTCCTCACCCCTTTCAATATTTATTTTTTTTTTTCCCCCTCTTTTTCCGAAAGCGACCTTTCCGCCAGAAGCGTCCCGGTAGGATAGAGAAGGCTGGCAGCAGCGCTCTCCTGCCCTCCCGCTCTTACCTGCAGCTCCGGGGCTGGCGGGGGGCTGCGCGCCGCAGCGGGTCCCACGGGCGGCAGCGGTCCCAGGAACAGCAGCGGGTCCCACGGACGGACACGGCAGCGGTCCCAGCGAAGGAACAATGGGAGATGGGCGCCGGGCGAGCCCCAAGCCTATGGAGCATTACGTCATTACCTCGCCATATAAGGAGCTGAGCCTTTCGCTGCCTGGTTGCGGCGTTTCGGTGATGGCCAGCGCTGGGAGAAGCTTATTAATACCTCCTGGCTCCAGCTGACGCTCCGGACGGTGCGAAAGCCTCGCGGCTGCCTACCGGCCCGTGGAAGAATGTGCCCAAGGTCCGGGCTGCCACAGCTCCTTGCTATAGTGTCCGTAATGAAGGCGGCAGGAGTTGTTAGCTGATGAGCTGCAATCTCTTGAGCTCAGCCTGGAGTTTGAGCTAAGAAAATGTCTTCAAGGTCATCTTCTTTAATAAGCCGGCCTCGGGGGGGTTCCTTTTTATGTCTTTTTGCTTGCTTGCTTTTTAACCTGACAAAAAAAGTGAATTTAGCCGAGCTCCTCAGAGGGCGATACGAACTTCAAGCCTTCTTTTTTTTTTTTCCTCCTTCTGTAAAGAGTCGGGGTCCGCAGAGGATAGTATTTTATTTCCTGATGATGTAACTACAAAACAATTCTCCGAGTGATGATGGGAAGGCCAGATGAAATCTAAATTTTTTTTTCTCTTCAATGTTTTCCCTGCAAAACCCTTTCCTTTTCATCTGTTTGTGTTTCAGCTAACACAATTAAGCAGCCCAGCCAACTATTTTTAGCAAGGAGGTCTTAAAGAAATGAGTCGTTTGTTTTAATATTTAGGGAAGAGGCAGGAGGCCAAAAAGAAGGATTTAGGTTGAAGAGCTTAAAATGTATCTGTTGCATTCCCTGTCCTTCAGCGTACACTCTGAATACAACTGCGAACGCAAGGAAGAAATACCTGAAACAGGCATAAAACTTGTTGCTGAAATTCCACTAAGTTAATGAAATAAGCTCCTCTTGTGATGACGAGTAAATTAGACCATGGAAAAGGGTTTTCCACGCTATTTTGTGCAGCTTTGTTCAAATTAGATGTATCCACAATTCATTTATTTGCAGCGTTTGAGTTTTAGTCTTCAGATAAACTCTAGCATAGCTTATGCTGTTCTACTGCCAGCTTTTAGGATGCTTTAATATATACAGGAACACAACACTAACATAATGAAATTCACTTATTTGGGGGTGTTGTCCATGTGTTTGAAGTCAAATGGTGATTAAAATGTTTGCATTTCATTAAAAAGAAAGACATCTCTTAGCTACCTTGCACATATTTACCCTGAGTGCAGTCTTAAAAAGATACTTATTTTTCAGGTGGAATTTTTCAGCCAGCCCTTTGCACTGCACCTGAGCCAGGGCTTATTCAGAAGTGTGTTACATGTATGTGTGGATGATCCTGCTGTCCCCTTGCACGTCTTTGAGAGAGTTTGGGTTTGTGTGCTTGATCAGAAATCTTCAAAATCTCTTTAAAGGACAGATACCTGTATATTGACCCCTATGAATTGGTTGCAGAGATAATGTAATGTCTTATCCTGATCTGTCCATTGGCATATTCAAATAAAATATTTCAAGATGAAGTTGATTTTGTATGCAGGTACAGACTCATCTTTTCTGTTGGGACTCTGCAGTTACTTGAAAGAGCAGGACAGCTGCAGGTGCAGGTCCTGGTTCAGAACAGGCTGTGGGAAATGGTGTGCCCTGTTAAAGCTGCAGGGGAGTCACGTAAGTAGGAGTCTACCATGTGTAACAGAGATCTGTAAAAGGTAGCTAGGAGTTAAATATGTATGCATGCTTTTAAACCTGCGCGTGTCTGTGTATACCTATAAAAATGACTAGAGTGAAAATTACAGTCTTTTTTACTTAGTTCTTTTTTTCTTTCCTTCCTTTTTATTTTTTTTCCTGCGTTTTTCCCTTCACCCGCACATTCCCTATCTCTTCAGTCTATCTACGTGAAAATTGCCTGCATTTTTGCCGCGCCACATGAAAGAGCTGTTGTAGCCTATGCACAGCTTTGAAGAAGGAAGGCTTCCCAGAAGCTGGTAAACAAAATGCATCCTTATATTTCAGTTCTGTTTTGGAGTTGCTAGGAACACAGCTCCGATAGTGCCGGTGATAAGTTTATTGACAGTCTGGGGGCAGGCTAGAGCAGGGAATAGGGAATGCAAATCCTCCTGTCTGTGTTTACATCTGGGGATAGCCAAAGTATGAACTTGTAGTTTCTTAATTAATTCTCCTCTGTGGTATAGAAGTGCACATCTGTGACCTTCTGCAAAACCGCTTTATCAAAGAGCATCAGCTGAGTGTGTAATGACCTGACTTCCTTCTCTTGTGTTGTCACAACTTGATAAAGGACACAGTACAGTACTATTTCATGCACTATTATGAAACTATATGATTTAAAATTCCAGATTGCTAACATGAAAAGCTTATTTGTGACAGAGGCTGAGAAACTTTTTTTCACTGGTTGTTTTTTATTCAGTGTCTTCCAGTATCACTAGGTAGAGTCCTAGCCCTGGTGAGGTTCACTGGAGGGAAAAGATGCCTTTGGACAGGCAGGTATGTCTGTCTCGCTTTGCATTGCTTCCTGAAAACCATCTCAGTTTCCTTAGTTACTAGGAGGATTTGCTCAAAATCAGTGTAAGTACTGTGACAGCAAAAGAAAATGAATCTGTAAAAAGTAAAGACAAAATGAAAACCTTATTTGGTGCATCCCCTGACAATGTGGGGCTGCTCCCTGCAGCCTGACTGCAATAGCTTTGTTCTAGTCTCTGTCTGTCCGAGTGTTATTTTATTTTGTTATTTGTGCACATGTTCTCTTAGGATTTAACTTGAAAAAACAGAAGCTGGAAAGATGGAAGATTAGCAGGCAGGGAAAAGATGGGGAAAATAAGCTAAATGACTTTGAAGTTGTTGCGTAGACCTTATCTTAAACTATCTGAATTCCTCCCATTGCTTCCATCGTTAAACTACTTCTCTTTCCTTTTTCTTCCCATAGAAGTCTGTAGCAGCCGTTCCACTATCCTTAAACCCATAACCTATCTATTGCAGCATTTGACCCCTTCCTTTAGCCATTTTGTATCTAAGATAAATAAAGGAAATTAGAACTTGGGCCTGAGTTCAACAAAGCACTTAAAGATAGTCCTGTGTATTTTGTTTGAAAAAAAAAAAAAAAAGGACTTCAGCATAAGCCTGATTTTAATGATATATTGAAATTCTTGGCTGAATCAGGCTCTTAGTCACGTTTCCTTCATGTAGATATTGCTGAATCTCAGCCTTTGAAATTATCCGTGGGATCAAAATCTTTAGGTTACTTTCATATTCCCAAAATAGACATCTATGGAAGTACAAATACTGTCAGAGCTTCTGTTAGGATTTTGCATTACTTAAAACTATTTGCTTTTTTGGATGGGGTTCTGCTTAAGCTTTGCAAGTGAGAACTTGGAGAACTGAAAAGCACGTGGTATTGACAAGCTGAATCTTAATGGCTTGTATTAATGGTATCTGATGTTTAATGGTTCTAATAATTCGTAATTTCAAGGATTTTTCTCCAGTGTATACTCAGCCTTGTCTCTGAAGTCTGTGGGAGTTTTGCTGTTAAGTCAGTGTAAGAAGGCTCACTTCTTGAATTATTTCATGGATTGATAGCATCGTTTTAAATTTTTCTGTCCAATCTGTCTTTATTAATTTCCCTGGCATTGTGGTTGACAGTCTCTTAGATTTCATCAATAAAAGTTGTTTTCATGTTTTGTCTCATAATGCACAGATGAATTTCTGAATATTGTGGAGAGAAATATGAAGGCCATTATAGCTAAATGACAGTCTGCAATGCACAGACAACTGATAAATAGCATGTGGAAGGCAAGGGGGAGAAGCAGGGGAAAGTTCTAAAGATAACATTCTTCAGATTCATGTGTCTTTACTATGGACCATGGACGGAAAGAGATTCATATCTTCATTACTGTGTGTTTTTAATTTTTTTTGGCAGCAGGAAGAAATATTTTCCCAAACTCCCCTATTGTTTGCAGATTCCATTATTCTCCCTATTTTGGCAGACACAAACAAAATTCCTAGCCAAATATTAGGGATAATTAGATCCCTTTTTGTTGGGCGCCGCCTTCAGAAGTTGATGACTGCATCTCTTCATATGACTGCTAATGACCTCTCTCCTAAGAGGGACTGGCAAACGTTCTGTATTTGCTTGTGAGATGACCTCTTGTTGTATATGGGACCAGGATAATTTTTTTATTAAAAAAGACATCTAGTGCGGAGCAGAGCTTGTCATGAACAAACATTAATAGAGTTTAATTTCTGTGCCTTGTCATATAAACCATATATAGCCAAGTAATCCATTCTACGTAAAGAATTGAGATAACAGTTCATAGTCTATGAAAACTCTGCACAATAGTGTATTTTACCAAGCAGCTTGGGCCTGGAGGTTTGTTTTGTAAGTGTTGTTCTGCACTGATGTTTTTTTTGTCTGCAAATAGTTGGACTATTTCTGGAAGCATGACAGCCATTTCAATATTAGTGCAGTAGCTCAAGTGAGTTGCAACCATGTGAAGACTATTGTGCTGATGTACCTTGGAGGGAGCAAAATTCCACATTTAAAGTATGCTCATATTATGTCTTTCTTGAGACATTGGACCTCAACAAAAAAAATAAATATAATAAGTCTATATACTAGTTGCCTACTTTTCTTCCTCCATCTCCTTTGAAATGCAGTCAAAGCAAGATTCTTCTTGTAGGACTTCAGGGAAATGGTGACTGAGAAGTGTTAAGCTTCAAATCAAGCTCTGCATGAATCTCTGAATTCGGTCACTGTGTTCAAACTGATCAAACCTTACAGAGCAGTTTAGTTCTTGTTTGAATAATAAACACACAGGTTTGAGTGAAGTTGACTCAGCTCTTTCCATAGATGTGACCTGAACATGGTGTCAGTGGAGGATGCTCCATTCAAAGCAAAGAAGTAGATCAAGGTATTACAAGTCCCTTTACTTCTCCATATCACTGAATGTCTCCTCTCTTCTGCTTTTTTCCCTTCCTGTCAATTGTTTTTTCATTTGTTACTGGGTGATGCTGATCCAGCAGTACCTTGTACTGCAAAGCCCAGCAGGGATGGGATGTGAGTGAAGGGATTCAGGATTCTTACGGATTGCAACATCTACAGCAGTCACCTGAGGCTCTGGTCTCAGAAAAGAGAAAGCACTGAGCTTTTGAGGGACGCACCTAGATGAATGTGGACTCGAATGCAGCTTAGGAACCATCTATAGTGTACATATCAGAGTTACAAGTTTGTCGTTTTTTTTCTATTTTTAGTGTTTACAAAGTAGAGAGAATTGGGGATCGAAATCTATTTTCTTTCATTTCATTGTTGTAATTCTCTTGATCAGGCTTCTCTTGCCTCTTACAGATTGACCTAGTGGAAAAGTAGATGATACAGAAAGCTTATCTCAAAAATAGTAAGGTAGTCAAAAGGTGGCTATTGGATGCTGAGGAAAGCAAACTTTGCAGGGAAAGAAAATGGTTTTTGTTGGGCTGCCTGTGCTAGCTGAGTAAAATAGACATGCTGTTGGGCTCACAGGCCCTTTATTGGGTCTCTAGATGCTGCCATTTATGTTATGAAATTACATAAGAGGCATTTTTCTGCTTTGATAGATTTTTCTTTTTTTATAATTCGTGCTAAAAATACATTTTAAGATGTTTTCCTTATTCTCTGCAATTTCAGAAGTCGTACACTAGTTCCTGTTTAAAGCATGGGATTTTAAGTTATTGGTGATTTTGATACCTGTTCAAGGAATCTGTACTGAAATAACACAGAGGTAAATGTATCCCATATAGGCCATTCTAGATTGTGGATTCCTCGGGATATAATATAACTTGAAAACCTTTGATCCCTTTGGGATTCAGAATTGCTGAGCTATCTGATAGATTAATAGTTTAGAAATGTGACTGCGTTGTGTGGTTCAATTCTCTAGTCTGGAAAAGTATTTACAGAATTTCTTGATCTCCTAGTGCGTAGTCCCGTGTAGTTCTTTGTGTTAGGATTGCCCACAGCAGGTACCGTTCAAGGAGTCTCTTGGGCTTGGGGAAATGTATTTAGCAGACTCAGACACTCCATAGCTCCTGAGTCTGCAACAAAAATTTCACAAAACCCTTGAGTGAAGAAGGGGAATAAATACAAAAGGGTATTAATTTGGCTTTTTATGGCAGCCTGCATGAGACATGTCAGCATTAAGAACTATTACCTTAGACTCAGCAATGTTAAACTTGTGTCTTTATCTGGGAACATTTTTATTGATCTCATGTCTCTGGATGTTATGTCAGCAGGATGGGCTATTACTAAGAAAGTCTTTCAGGAGATGAAGTAAATGCTTGAATAACCCCCAGATTGCTTCATGCTTGAATATCATACAAGAGCACAATGAAGTGACTTAAGGAAATTCTTTTCCTAGCACCTGAAGCAAAGACAAAAAATCATTTTTATTCCCTAAAATCTCGTGCACTTTAAACAGACTTTCCTGCAAACTTTTCAGTGTTCCGTTCGCTTATTTTTTTCATTGTTGGTTAGCTTATTTTTAATCTGTTTTTTACAATTATCTTTTTTTTTTTTTAGTTGTGTGTAAGGGTGAAGTTTCTATTTTGTTCCTTTTTATGTTGTTTCCCCTTGATAGCTTAATTGAAAGCATTCTGATAGGACATTGATTTTGGCTTCTATTTGCTGTAGCCAGTCTCAGAAGCTCATAATGCAAAGATTAACACTCATTAACTGAATCGCAGTTGCAGTTCATAAAAATTTGTGTGTATGCTGTGTTTGTGATCATGATGTGCCTTGTAGGATTGATTAAATGTGGAGACATATTGCTTGCTTTCAGGTGGTGTTGCAATTTCATTTAAAAGAAACCTGAAGTGGCTCCTTTCGCTACCAGATCTAATGGTACATTCAACAATTGTTAATGACTTATAAACAATGTGATGTTACTCAAGAAAAAATGAAACAAGATAACTTCTTAAATGGATGTATAATTTCAAGTTTCTCTCTTCCATATCAGTTTAAAATAGCTTGTTTTTCCTAGCAAGGATGGTATAATGGAACACCAGGAACCTTAGTACTGGTAGGTGATCCTATGAATACAAAGTTTTTTAAGCATGGTAAACTTGTTACTCTTCAGTTTTGTTTGTTTGTTTTTCCCCAAATAAATATATATATGTGTATAGGCAAATCTATATCCATAACTCTAGCCAATAGCAAGGGCAGAAGGAAGATACCAATTCTAGTTACTGTAATATGGTTCTTATGACACCGCTTGCAACCTTCTTGTAGGAATTGATGACATTTATCAGTTCCTTTAACTTTCAAAGCAATACCTACAGACATGTCTGGATTCTGCATGTGATAAACTGAGGCCTAGAATTAGAAGTTGCAAAAGAATGTATATTTTCTGAATTCCTAAGTTATGTTGTATTGGTTAAACAAGGCCCAGTTGTGGATGACCTAATAAAACCTCATTAAAGTTGGCTTTTCCTACTCTAAGATGTCTGTGTTTGTGATGCTTGATTTTTTTTTGTTCTTGTGATGCTTTTTTTTTTTTACTGTATTCATCTGTTCTTATTTATTTCAGAATCCCCATAGTAGATGAGCAAACCTATTCTCACATGCAAAAAATCGGTCCTTTTGATATTCCTGCTGAATAAAGATGAAAATACATGGATCCAACTCTACCAAAATAGGAGGGATTATTTTGCTAGAAGCTGAAAGTGTGTCCAGAGTAACATAAGGTTATACAGAGCTTGACAAGAATAAATACTTTATTTGGGAGTTATAAAACGTCTTTGACATTGGAGCTTGGGAATGTAAGTGGAGCCTTAGCTTGTAGCTATCCATGTATATCTAAATCAGTGCAAGTCATGCCTGAAAGCTGCTGCTATATATAGTTTGCTCAGTGGTCAGGGTGGCGGGTGGTTGGAGTTCTTGGAGCAGTTTTGATGGGATAGGTACCTGTGCAGCAGAAATACTCATACCTCAGAGGCTTGTTGAAACCAGTACTGGTGGTTTTACTTGGGCAGAGCAAAGTCTGAGTGGGAGTGAAATCTGAAATCCCTCCTGACCTTTTGGAAATTGCTCTGAAAAGTTTGCCTGTGTAAACATACACAGAAGACTAGTAGATACTCCTGAGCTTTTATGGATAATAGTTTCAGAGGTTGTTGATCTCTTCAGTGAGTTACTCTTTAGAAATGACTGAAGGCTGTTTATGATGTCTTAGCTTTAAATGCCATATCCGCATGTTTTCCACACGTAGTGATGTTACAGAATTTGGATTGTTTAAACAATCTTTGACCATTGTTTTTGCTTCAGTGTTGTGGGAAATGAGAGTATTTTAGGTATATCTCAAAAGCAGGAAAGCTACCCAATTTTGGTAGTGAATTCCTAGGTTTCAGGGATAGTTAATATCATAAGTAATACAAAAGCAAGATGGAAATCATGTTTGTAGGTCCTTTGGAAACATGATAGTGTATTACAATCTAATATTATAATACAAAAAAAGAACTGCAGGAGAAACGTGTAGGTCCTACTATCCTGTTAATTTTTTTCAACTATTTCACCAGATATCAATGTGATTTTTCTGGTCTCCTCTTGTGCTGTTCTGTGCTCATCTCTGATTTTTTCAGTGCATCCAGAAGCCAAAAGCCATAAAAGAAGCTAACATTTGTCAGGTGGGATTTTGGGTTGCTTGTGTTATGCTGAAGAAAATCAATGAGTAGGTTATTGGAAAGTGTGCGGAGGAATATGTGAAGATGCTGATGTCCAGTGGCGTGACTGGAAGGAATGCTTGAGATGCTTTTAGCATTTGTACTGGAATGAAGGGAGGCTTATGATCACACCTGGGTTCCTTCAGGAATGTCATTGCAAAAGGGAAGAGCTCCAGAATCACAAAGTGGCCCCCAGAGAGTCTCAAATGTATAAGTTTCACTTGGCATAAATCTGTGTTCAGAAAGGATTTTACTGAGGTGACAGTAGAATTTTTCTTTTTATTGTATGATTCTTCTAGTAAATGTTAAAATGTTTTACTTCTGGTGAGCTTTTTTCTTGCTCAAAAAATGCTCCTTCATTGTTGTGAAATGAAGCTGATGCGTATAAAGCCACAGTCCTTTTAAAATTGTGTGCATGTGCACAGTCCTAGGACATCCATTGGCTATTTCTACCTTATGAACAATGAATATACTGTGGGGGTGTTCACTTACAACATCTGAATGTAAATCACGCGTAAAAACACCTTCATAACTCTTTAAGTTATAGATACGTTGATACAAGTTAGATTTCCAGATAAAGCTTCTGTCTTAAAAAACAAATTGCACAAATCCTTAATGCGTTCTTTTGACCACTTCCTTTTGGGTGTGTGCATTCTTAAAATTACCTAGAAAATTTATTTGTTGCATTCTTATTCATAAATAGAAGTTGGAAGAGAGTTAATTTTATTCCATTTTTAAGAACCTGTTAACTTCAAAAGAAGAGAGGTTTTTCTTTGTGGCTAATTTTGGAGAAAACTGTAATTCTGGTTTTGGTATCAAAGTCTTTAAGAGGCAGAGAAATCAGAAAGGGAAACAGCTCTCTAGGCATTGAATGGTTCTGACTGAAATGTACCTTGGCTTTTGAAATGTGTGGTTCCTACTGGACATGCTCAAATGTTTCATTACGATGTGGTCACTTCCAGAGTAGCATTACATCACCGTATTTGCAAAGTCACTATGTTACAGTCGTCTTTACATCCAGAAGAGCTCTCAAGTGGGAGATCAAATTGTAAGCATTACATAATCAGAACAAAGTCTTTATTGGTTGATTGTGCCCTTCGGGTGGGATGTTGAATAGCAGTTGCATATGGAAGATGTAATCGTGCAAAATTAACCATTCCCTAACCATCCTACCAACAACTGTGAAGTTTAAATAATTGACTGGAGATAGAATTCACTTGGGAAGGGTGTAACTTTAGAAAATAAGGTTTTAAAATTGGTTAAGGGTTCACCTTCTTTCTGTAAACAAGAGAAAGAGCCAGAAGAGGTTTTACAGATCTGTTTATAGACCAGTTTGCTGGAATTTCATGTAGTGTAATTCCTGTTGTTAATGAATTCAAAGGAGGCAGACCAATTTCCACTCAGTCTGTGGTTTTAATTTATTGCAAAATGATCCACTTAAAAATACTGGAAAGATACTTTTTGGTTATGGAATATTAAATTTGTCTTTCAAAGCTAATTTAAGCTCTTTTTAGAGCTATTCACTTGTTAAGGACCAGATGTACAAAATTACTGTTATGTGTCTGGCAAGTTTAATCAGCCCAGTTTCGAACTGATCTGTGTTTTCTTTTTTTTGTGAAAGGTAGCATACAATTTATAGTTCTCAAGGTATCTGAAAGTGATACTGAAGTTTGGTCTTTTATCGATTGTCCCGGTATTTTGTGTGATCTCAGTCTAAATTTAACGAAGCTTGACTCCATAAACCTTAACTTAAATAAAATAAATGGTAAGTCCCTGCTCTGTGGGAAATGAAACTGCATTAAAAAAATCACAAAAAGTAATACTTAAAAGACTGAGCTTTAGGTTATGATGATTTACAGGTGATTTTTCCTGTGTTGTCTTAACATACTTTTTTGCATGCCTTAAGGGTATAATTGCACCAAACTTTGAAATTAAGACTGCTAGTCAGCCTTTGGGTATGCATGCCTTTTACACCACACTGTTTTTTAGTGAGAAGTCCGACTGAATCTAAGGCTATAGATTTTGCTTCTCCTTTTCATCCTGCCCTGTTCCCAGACTGAATTAAGCACCAGTGTGAATCATCCATCAGCATTGACTTCCCTTTTGAGATATATGGGCTGGAGAGTGTGAACTTGTTGGCAACTTTTTTGTTAATGTGCCTGTTCTGGTGTGTCCTCAGAAACAACTAAATTTGATATGGTCACTTCACAGAATCCCCCAGTTCTTTGTCCAGGTCAATTCCAGATGGTCAATGATCCCATAAAATGTTGAGACAAGATCCTGATTTTGAAAGTGCAGGCTTCAAAATATTAATCTTGGTACTTCGCTTTGTGTTGTGAAGCCCTTTTTGTTCTTCCATCATAGTGATGGAAGTAAGTTGTGGTGGTTTTCTTCAATTTTCACTGCTGAATCAGCAGAAATTGGACAGTTTTTGAGCTGTTATGTTTGTTTGTCAAGCAATATAATATTAGCTTATTAACTTCCAGAGACAATGAGGTTGATATTGGTAAGGGCAATGACTTACAGCACTGAGGATGATTAAGAAGCAAAGAACAACCTTTGACTGTGGGTCTGCTTCTCAATTTCTCTGAGACTTAATGAAAACATTATTCTGCATGGCCTACAGTTAGTTTTGCAGGACATCTTGGAAGCTACCAACATAAAGTCCAGGATAAAAACTGTGTTTAAAAAGCAAGAAAAATTAACCAAGTGTTTTCAGGTGGAGTTCTCTCAATGGCAAAACGCTATGTAAAAGCAAGCTGTATTGCATCATTTCTATTCTTAGCACCAACACACCTTAAATTTTGTAAGGATGTGGGGTTTTTTAGTTGTTGGTTTTTGATGTGATTAACAAACTTTTTTTTTGCATTTTTACTTGTTTTGTTATGTTCTTGAGAATTTAAATGGAGGCAAAAGGTAATTCTTCAGCCTCTGCTCGTGAAATTTAATTTCAGTAATTTTCTAGCATTAAATGTTTTTTTTGTTTTTTTTTTTTCTTTGAAAACTGTCCATCTCCTTACATAGGAGACAAATCATTTTAGTTTAATAATATTTTTTATGTCATGAGAGACTGGGGGGGGAGGTGTAACTTATCTGGACACTATCCAAGAAATCTGTCTTTTGTGCTGTGTTTGTCATTGAGCGATTCCTGGAAACGCTTGGTTATTTTTAACCTGTTTTTGAGAATATTTCTTGATGGACGAACTTCCTGCTACCCCTCTTTAGCATTAGCAAGGTTGAAAGGTAGCTGCTGGCATCCATTTTAGGGCATTGCTTTTTTTTTTTTTTTTTTTTTTTTTTACTGAGTTACTAGAGTGCTTAAGAGTGCTTAAGATAACGTAGCCCCATGGGCGGCTGCTCAGCCAGGTTTGCAGGGTGCCAGAATAACCACCCTCAGGAGAATGGATTCCTTAGCATAGTGGGAATTGAAGTCATCGAGCTGACTTGCTTTTTTGTTGTTTGTGCCTGCTGTGTTTTCCCTCCATTCATCTTTTACTGGTTCGCTTTCCTCTTTGAAGAATTATGTGCATGGTTTGATCTATTCATGGTCTTTTTTATTTTGAAGGGAAAAACAAGAGCAAGGATTCTGATGTGTATGTTTTTTGAGGTCCACTGCTCTGAAATTGTGAAGTGTGCACCTAGGCTGACCCCGGGGAAGCAGGAGTTCCAGGGAGAGAGGCTGCAAACCACTGGTAAACTGAGCAATGAGTTTACAGGAAAAGAATGTTGGATCACCAGTGTTGATGCTTGGGTAAGCGATTCACAAAAGAGTCCTCCATCTGGAAACTGAAAGGAGAAAAAGTTTATTTAAGGTGGCCTTTTAAAAAAAATAAAATAAAAAATTGCTTCTCCAGTGCATGGCTACAGCTATATATTTTGTAGCATGAGTCATGGATGGCTTTATAGTTACACATCCCCTTGCATAGGAGGAATAAACTTTGGAGAAGAGGAAGTTAAGAGAAAACAGAAGTGTGAATAACTGCTAATGGTGCTCTCTCTGGCTCCATTCAGTCTGCCATTTCATCATACATGAAGGGGGTAATTCAGAGATTCCTTTCTTGGCACATAAGTGGCAACATATGTTTGAAACAGTGAGTGGAAACTGTAGGAAAAAAATGACAGGCATATGGCAATAGGAAGGCTAGGGAAAATTTGTTGCCCTAATGTTAGCCACATAATTGGTACACTTAACTTCTGAGGGACTGATTTATTTAAAGGCAAAAATGCACGCTGCGTTTATACAGGTTTTCTGTATGTAGCTCGTATCTTACAGGTCCTTCATAATGCCTGTCCAGAGAGCTCTCTGAGGGATTGGAAGGTGATGTGCGAGATTCAGAGCGTCTTTGCCAAGGAATAGAGGGGAAATCTGGATGCAAAAACACAACCCTGCCTTCGTTAATATTTTCATTTTAAGAGAGGAAAAATTGAAAACCTCCTATATTTTAATATTGAGGTTGTTTGGGCTTTTTTACCACGTTGAGTTAGCAAGAACGTTTATGTCTTATTGCAACTTAAGATTTACTGCTTAGTGAAAAGCAGAGCACTCCTGGAAACCGGCATCACCCAAAATAGTGTTTCCAGTGTGAAGTACGTGCTGAGGTAACCTGCTAACTTTAGGCAGAGGAGCATTGCTAGCCCGTGCACACATCTGTGCACAATTGTAGGCACACTGCAGCCCCACAGACCGTATGCGATATGTAGGGAGCGTGCAGCACTTCCAGTTAATTTTGTGTGATGAGTTAAATAATCAATTTCAAGTCAGAGTGTTGCTGGGAGGGTCAAGATCAAACCTGGTCCAAAAGGGCTTCTGTTGACATCTAAAATATGTTTAGGAGCATACTTTGGCCTGTGACTGAAAACTTCAATATAGAGAATGTTCTAAAAAAACCTAAAAAAGTTTAGGAGGAATGTGGCCTGTTTTCTTTCTATTGAAAAATGATTGGTCAAACGTGATGAGAATGTCCCTCACCACACTTTATTTCAGAAGCACAGCCTCTTTTCTCCTGAAGGGTGGCCCTCTGAAAGCTTTAACTGAGCAACTGCACATAGCCTGAGCGGTCCTGTTATGGCTTGTGCTGCTCAGAGATCTTAATCCTTGTGTAGGAAAGGGTAGTGGACTAAATGGCATTTTGATTTATTCGCTCTTCTTTCTGACCTCTTCTACCTCAGGATTTTATGGTCTAGCGATCTAATTTTGAGATGGTAGGTCCTACATGAGCTTATAAAGAAATGCCCGTCTACAAGTTGGTTGCATTATATGCCAACAAATGTAGCTTGCATTATATGCCAACAAACGTAGCTTATTCTGGGGAGAAGGACAGAGGCTTTACCATTCCTACTTAACCAGGGAAAGGAGGGGAAAGAGTAGTATGCAGTGTTAAACTTTCAAAACAGATAAAAAGCTAGCTCTAGACTTTTTTCTAAAACTCCATGATTAGTAATCTGTGTTAGCAACTAACACCCTGAAAACGTGAGAAATCTGAGCCGCGCATTTCTTAGTTTCTTTACCAGAGTAAATGACATCACGAATACTGTAGGCAAAAGGAATGAAAACAAAGGTTGTGAAAGAAAACCTCTTTATGTTGTTTTGGTTGTCATCCATTTAAAGAAATGCATCTGGGATCTGTAGGAATCTGTGGAGTTGAGTAGGTTGTAGGGTTTACTTCTTCCTTTTCATAAGTCTACAGAGAGAGGGGAGCTGTTTTTTTCTTACTTTTTGGATGTATTCTATTTGATAACTTCTGGATTTCTTATTTTACTTAAGCATGAATGTGTTCACTTGTCCCTAGTTGTTTTTTGGGTTTGTATGTTTGTTTGTTTCACTAAGTTGACTGTGGTGGAATCACTTAAATGCACACATTTAACCTGTAACTAATTATGTGGACTAGAGTGATGAGAGAGGCTCGGGGCCCTGCTCCCAAATTGAGGCAGTTTTGTAGAGTGCATTTAAGGAAATGTGGTCCTTATGGCATTCTGTTTGGGTTTCAGTTTATGAGCAAATATTAAGAAGATAACTCCCTTTTCATGTCATAAACCCATCAGCCACTTTGAGTTCTTCCATGAATCATCTGTCTCACTGGCATAAAATGCTCTCACCACTTGTCTTGGATGAGGTAGAGTTTTTTGCTTCAGTCTGTTTGTTAAAATTTTATCCACTAATATCCACTCTCAGGTGGCAGAAGAGAGTCAACTGATGGTGCTTACATCATGATATTCCACAACCATGAAGCTGTAGTCACAAGAAGTGACACTTCTACGGTGTGAGAAACTCCACACGATTTGTATGGTACGGCCTTTTTAAGCAAGAGGGTTGCAGCATGTCTGTGTGCCATGGCTGGCAGCAGGCCCACAGAAGACCAAATTTCAAACAGACACGTGCAGGCTGCCTGCTGGGCATGGAGCACAACGTGCATGCACGTGGTGTTATTTCTTGTGTAATGCTAACAACCTTTTCAGCACAAATGAACTCATCCCTTTTCTTTTTCCCTTCCTTCCCTTGTGTCCAACAGTAACTCTGCTGCTCCCACTTACTTCTATCGCCATACAAAGGGTGTGGGATGAGAGCCAGATGCTGCTGCTTCTCCCTGATTGAAAGCTGAAATCCCCAAAAGGTCTTTTATGCCACTAGGAGACTTGCTTTTTTCTAATAGTGACATATCCTTCTCTAGATCAGCTGATCCTTAGGAACTTGTTCTTCCCATGAGACCTGGCAATCAGTTGCCCTATAAACATTTCCTCTTTTTAATGAGCTATTGGCTGTTTAAAAACCATCTTTGGAGCTTTGAAAAAGCTGCATGCAGGTATGTAGCTCTGAGCTGAAAACATCATTTCAAGTACCAGTGGGCTGCTGCTTATGTTCAAGATCAGCAAATATATCAGTTTCTGAGAAAATTTTGGCCAGGTGTGCTTAGAACTAATGCAAGATCTGTTTGGATTATTTGAGGCAAGAGTTGGATAGTGTCATGGGAAGGGGCTTAGTTTCAATTGTCTGAATTAAAATGCATCTCGTGCTCCATTTTTGGGAGACTGTTATGTTGTAGACTCAACTACTAGTGCAGACAGAACTGAGTATCTTCTTTCTGTACTGCAAAGGTTTAGTTGTCTTGTTTGGCTTGCCATCAAGGCAGTGGAAGATATTGTTGTCAATCCTAGTCTACTTTTGACTTTTGGGTACTAGTTCTAAAGAGCATTGATCAGAAGTCTGTTTCCTAGAGTTACAGGCCTTGTACCTGCTGATCTGAAACCCCGTTAAATTTGCCACCCAAAATGTGAAATAAAGCAATCCTCACCTCTCTCAGCTTTCTCTACCAGAACTATGTTCTTCATTCACTTGAGGCATTTTTCCACAGGATGCAGGAAGATATCTGAAGATCTAACGCTGTCAGGATGACCACCACTAGTCATGGAGGCATGATTCATCGGTGCTGACCCACCTGTTCTGTGTCCCACCTGTGCTATGACACAGCAGTGGGTACTAGATATTTTGTAGAGGGCCATAAATTGGCTTTGGAAATCACAGCCATAGGTTCAGCCAGCCTTTCCTAATGTCAAGAAGGTGGGAATGAATGTTTTCTCTGCCAAGACTTTTAACAGGAGTAGGTTTGAACTTCTTTGGGAGGTAGAGCTGTTGAAATTTTTTCGTCCTTTTGTGCAGTGTCACTGGAGTCGTTTTTTCAGAATTTAATATAGGCTGTGTTGGTTTGCTCTACTGGGATGAGTTTCTGCTGTGGGTCTTGGGGATCAGTTTCCTTGTTTACTTCCCCAGCCTACCCAGATTGCTGTTGTTCTTGTAGATTCTTTTCTATGTTGAAATTGTGTCTAGAGGTGATTAAGAATTGCATGCTTTGAAGGGCTCTCTGGGTAAACTAACAGACTACAAATCTAATGCTTTTTAGGTTTTATTGCAAATGATAATTTAAGGTTTATAAATATTGTAAGAAAAGGATGTAACGTGATTAGAGCAGAGATCCTATGTAAATATTTGGGTTTTATTTAAGTCTTAGAATGTCTTCTGATGCTATTTTATACTGTTTCCTTTTGAGCAAACTGTTTGTATGTTTTTAAATGATGTAAAATCCTAGGATATTAGCTAATTAGTGCGGAAAAATTAAAGGGTATTAAAATAGCTTCCATGTAGACTAATGAATGAAATATTTCAACAATGTAAATAGATGACTGTACTTGAAACATAAACTCACCTTTTGAGATTATGGTCTACCAGGTCAGGTTGAGAATTTTTTTTTTTCCTTTCATGGAATAAACATTGCAAATTCCTTTCACTTTATTCCCTTTTCCACCCAGAAACCCAAAACATCCTAATTTGATTTTTGCATGTTTGTTTATGGATGTTCAGGGCACCAGCAAGCACAGTCATTACCAGTTCATAGCAACTGCGTAGTAGGAAATAAAAGGATTGCCTAAATAAAGTTTTGTGAAGTTATCTTTCCTAGCATTTTTTGTTAATTGTAGATAGAGATTTTCTGGCCTTTCAGACCATTGCTAAAGAAACTGGGGAAAAAAAAGTGTGTAATGTACTTTTATTTTTGAGAGAAATGCTACACTTAATGCTGCGTGCAACTCGTTTTATGAAGGCTGCAGCTTTTCCTATTTGGCGGTTATCTTTGGAGGTATCTTTGATTGTTTTTATTGCAGTAAGAATTCCTGTTTACCAAACAACCAAACTATAAATATTTCAAGCTGTGTCATTTTGACTCACTTTAGTAACCTGCAGCCATGCTAAATGTCTCGGCACAAAAAAGACAGCTGAGGAGTGTAATCTTTTGTGGGATTTGTTGATACTGTGAAGTAGAAGACAGGCTGTAAGCATAAAGCTTACCAAAATCTAACCTTGTTTGATCTGAAGAGAACAAAAATGGTAAAATGACTTTAACAGATCCATAAATTATATTTTTGATGAGAAGTGAAGCATCAAACTTTCTCATATCCTTTATGAAAGGGACTAGCAGTGTATTCTGCAGGTACCAAAGCTGGTGTAGGAACAAATCCTGGAATGGTGTGCAGCATCACCAAGGGAGCCCTTGTCTCCTGACTCTCACAGTTTCAGTCATAGCTTCCTTGGGGGTGTATTGCCAGTACCATTTACAAGAACAACGGGTAAACTACAAGCTGTCAGGGTCTAGGTCTGTGCACCATAAATTGTAATTCTGTGCCAGACCTCATCCCAAGTTTCTGCATTTCAGGATAACTTGAGGCTTTTGGTTGATAAATGTCTTTTACCAATTTCTTTTTCCAAAACCTCATTTTAGATCAGAAGAGCCAGTCTGCGACCCATGGGTTGGGCGTGACCTTCCAGAACAGCTCACCAAGCTTTTTTCCTTTTTTTCCCTTTTTTTTAATCTTCCCCTAGGGCTTTTCCATCCTATTAACAAAAGGTATAGTTGGAGGCAACCAGGCCTGTTGTCTCCACTGTCTATAGTGGTAGAGCTGCAGCTGAGCAGATCCTATTTCAAAGAATCAGATATTGTCCATGTGACATATGCACACCTTTTTAGAGCAGAACAAGCACGAATGGTAGGTCTCAAAAGACAAGGGCAGCTGTGTGGTAAGGAATCATGCCATATAGTGAACCTACCACTCTGTGCACCTTTCCTCTGCACAACTGGTGAAATGCTGTATCTTGAAAAGTAATGGTATTGTTTGTGAGGTGTCTTGAGTTGGTGCGGTGTCTTGAATTTCTTTAGATGCACAATATAGGAAACCATGTACAATGAATAATCATGGTATATGCTAAAAGGCATTTATATAAAATGCCTCAACCTTTTGGTCCTGAATAAAGCTTATAAATAATGATATATGTTGAAATTAGAGCGTACTGCTGTGTTAGGACACTTTTTCTAGCATACTATCAGGACTCTTGACAATCACAGAACTGTAGGGGTTGGAAGGGACCTCAAAAGATCATCGGGTCCAACCCCCTGCCAAAGCAGGTTCCTCAGAGCAGGCTGCCCAGGTAGGTGTCCAGACAGGCCTTGAATATCTCCAGAGAAGGAGACTCCACAACCTCCCTGGGCAGCCTGTTCCAACGCTCCTTCACCGTGAAGAAGTTCTTTCGTATGAAGAACTTAACTGACATAAGATGCCCACAGTGACTGACATAAGATGCCCAAAAAAGTGTAGGAACCAAACTGTAGGGTGAGCAGAGGCAGGATAACTTATTCTATAGTAATGTGTTATTTTAATTTCTATTAAGAGATGCATTTGATCTCAGAAAAGTCATTTTCCTTTCTTTTTCCTGCTTGCATCTGAATCCTCAGACATTACAACTGCTAACAATTTGTGTCTTTGTTTTCCATCTAAAGGCTTTAGGTGAAAGTGAGTTTTCAGTTTTGGAGTTACGACGGGTTTATGTTAGTAGAAGCTCTCTTTTCCCATATAACATGAGAGGAGCTGAAGAGCAGTTCCTGAACAGCCTTCGCTAAGCACATGATGCATTGTGAGTGTGATGCATTTGATTATGTCCTCTCTAAATATATAAAACAAGAAATCCTGTTGAGAGAGTGAATGTATGAATGTGTCTATAAATTTTATGAATATGGAAATTTCAGTTTAAAGATGGAATGTACTAAAGAATATCCGAAGTTCAAAGCTATCAAATAAAATATAACGTATCTTAATGTACATACATGCAAAACATATCTGTGTGTACAAACACACACCTATACAGACCGAAGTTCATCTAATGTAGTAATGTCAAATTCCCAACAAAGCAGTGACGAAAGAGGACCGTTTTAGGTCATGTCAAGACAATGTGCTTTAGTAACTTCAAGATCCCTGGAGAGCTTATTAACCACTAAACAAAATGCCTCAGAAGGTAACTGAGTGAGTGTTTTAAATTATTCACTTTCATTTGGCTCTTGGCCAGATTCTCCTTGCAACGGGCTATGGCAAACAAGACCCGTAATTTACACTGACAATGATAATACACAGTTTATTCTGCTAGCTTCTCAATTTAGAGCTTTTACAAAGTAAATATTCAAACAAAGCTCCGTTTTTTCATGCAAGCACGTTTTGTAACTCTAAACTTAGTCCAACAGAATTCAGACTTTGGCTGTATTTTTTTCCCTTCTCATGAAATGCGTTTTTCCTTTCCTTTGCTGATAAATAGGAATATCCGACTTGAATAAAGAGAAAAGGCAGCAGTACTCTAAAAGTTTTTTTTTTAATTCTCACATTTCTTTTTTAACTCTGTGCATCTAGTACCAATTTCCAAACTGTCTTATCCTCTACTGCCAAACATGTCCTTGTGAGACTTGATGCAACTCCCATACACTGCATATCTGCTAGCCAAGTTCCACTCATTCCAAATGCAGAGAGCAGAACAGAAGTTACTGGTCTGCTATAAAATCTGTATTTTACAGTTATTTCTAGGATTTTACAGCTTTTTTTTTTTCCCCCATCCCCTGAATTTTCTTCAAAAAGGACTTTGTTCCTTAGTTCGTTCCTTCTTAGAACTTAAAGGAGAAGCCTTACTGTGTTAACAGAAATAAAGCGATAGGAAGTCAGAACAGGCTCCAAAAGTAAACCAAAGATTTATTAGATTAAGTCAAAGGAATATAATTTGTTCATATGACTTCACATATATGTGAATTCTTTTTGCCCATGGGTCTTATAGCGCCTCATAGATACTTTAGGTCTAGACGTAACGAAGTGTGAACCATGTCATTGATGTTATGATTCAGTAGTAGGTACCTTGGAAGAAGGGCTTTTTTTTCATTTTTAAAACAAAAATGAACAAACAGGACTCTTATATAGGAATATCCATGTAAGGAACACTGCACTTGTGAACATGAACCCCCTGGCTGCTGAAATGGGGGAGAGAAGCAAATGCGTGGTGTGAGCTGGTGTGGATGGAGTAGGGATAAGACAGGAGAAAGTGGGGCATTGCTTTCTAAATGCCGAGCAGGATTAAATTGAAAGTTAACTGGTGAGCTAACTGAAAAGGTTGGGTAGAAGGCATGCCTAAGGAGGATTGAAGTTGAGAGAAGATGCAAGACACAATAGATGTGAAATTGTTAAGTTGGGTCAGATTCACTGGTCAATGCTGGTACATAACAAAGAGGTATAAGGAACTGTGCTCTGGATGATTGTGTTATAAATGTAATCAGCAGCCCAGTGAAGATTTGTCTTTCAAATTTCTTTTGCAAATAAAGGTCACTGAAAGAAATAGTGTTCCTAGCTGAGTTACCCAAAAGTAGCCCCTTTTGGAGCGGAATCTTACTCCACATGAAGACACCTCTCTTCAGTCAGCTGAGTGGACCACCACAACACGATGGCATGGGCAGTGATGGGACCTCAGGTGCTGACATCTGAATGTTGTCACTTATAAACGAAAACATCTAAAGCTGTATCACACCTTTAAGTTCAAACATGAAGCGAAGTTTACGTCTTGTTTCTGAACATTAATTATGACTGCAGTCAAAAGCAGAAAGGGGAACGTTTGTGCTGGGAGGGCAAAATTTCCTCCATGTTAAGTAAGGTTACTAAAATATGAGTTAATATACCTATAAGGTCTGTGTACCTTGTATAAATAGAGAAACAGAAATGTTATCTGAATAGAAAGCGAAGGTTATGGTTCTTTTTGGCCTCAACCAAAAATATGCATTTTGCCAGAATGATTGCAAAAATAATTATTTTTGGAGTTGATAACAGAAACTAACAAGGAAAAGAGAGAGAATTATTTTAATACTAAGAACTTAAGTACTTCAGGTCAAATGGTTCATACCGAATAAACCTATTCAAAGAAAACAACAATACACTGTGTTTTCATAGGAGTGTTTAGTGCATACTTTATGAAATTCAGTGCATAGTTGTCTGTACTCTCTTATGTCCTGAATACAGTGACAATGAGTAAGATATGACAACAGTAGTGACTCGTGGTGTTGTGCCATTATTCCCTTTAAAACTGAGAAAAGTGAAGTGCTCGTGTTAAATAAGGAAGTGTATAATGACTACTGTAGTGTTGTGCGTCAAACGATCATCTTTTTTTGATTTCCTGCTGTAATTATAGCAGCTGAATAAACAAGATAACATAAGAAGTTTCTTAAAGAATTAAGGTAGAGATCTGGTAGCTATGAGGGATGTTATGGTATTCACGTGGTTCCGGATTTTTTTCTGTATTCATGCTCCCAGTGGCATCTTGTACTGGGATCCAAGTACTCTGATCTCATTATCAAAGAGATTTCAGTGTCTTAAAAATTTACTATATACAGTTTGCCTTATTGCATTTTTTGGAGTCACTTGAAGAGGGCTTGTA